ATAATATGTAGCTGTATTATTTTTTTACATTCAATATATATTTAATAATAATCATATTAATCGGATTTGCTGAAATAATTGAATTTTATCGTTTTTCTCGGTAAAAGGAATTGCAGACTAGGAATTCATTATTTTTTCTTTCAACACGCGTAATTAGTTACATGAGATTGCAACGCAATACTGAGAATTTTATATACGAGAACTTGCCTAAATGATTCCATAAACAAATGTCGCGTCATCTTTATAGGTTAAATAAGGATGTTAGGATAGTTTAAATAAGGATGCTAAATATCTTATTTATAAGCGTATTCCTCCCGCATTTGTACAGTTTTCAATAAATCTTTATATCATCAAACGTAGAATGAAATATTTATGAGCATTCATGAATGATTGATACAAGATTAAAAAGTTAGATATAGTTAATATAAAAATTAATTTTGTGTTCCTTAGAAAAAATATGATTATTTGAAATAATATTGACAAACTATTTAATAACAAATTATTATATATATATATAATAAATTAAATATTAATAAAATAAAATTAAATATATGATATATGTTTTACAAATTATTAATAATGAACAAATAAATTTGTAAAAATTTTATATACGTGTATAAATTACTTTATTTTTCATTTATTATTATTATTATCAATATTAGAATTATTATTATAGTCAACTATGAAAGTCAATATCAAAGAGATAAATTAGTCAATCTAAATATCATTGCATACTCTAACTATAAAACATTATTCAATTTGCATGATTTAAAATAGATATTTCGTTAAAATTTGTACAAAACTAATCAATTATTTATTATTTTTATTTTTTATTATCATCCGATGCAATTTGTGATGCAAGATTTGCAAATTTTGCCATATAATCAACACTATTTTCTCCCATCAGGCACTGCATATGTGAAACAACCTGTAATGTTCATATATAATTTTTTATTAATTAATATGTAATATATTTAATTTTCTTAATTTCATTATCAATATTTACATCGGATGATGGACGATTATCTTCTATATTGTCTTCATTCTGAATCCTCTGTGAAATCTTCATAGGAGACTCTAGTTGACCTAGAAAGCTACTTAATGAAAAATCTGCTACCTGGAATTTAATATTACTTGTTAAAAATTTTTTTGTTTGTTTCATATTCTTTTAAAGAGAAAAAATTTACCTCGCTATTCAACCATTGATGTTCTCCCTCTTTAAGTATTTGTGTAGCACTTGTTATAATGGAATTTGTAGGTTTTGAGTCTCTTGCCACTTCAAGTTCATCCAATAAATTTTTCACTTGTGATTCATTTATAATTATAGATGACGATTTTTCATTTTGATGATCATTAATATTTATAGAAGAATCATTTATTTTATTTTCTTCTTGAGGATTAGATATTACATCTTCTGATGAATTATTTGGTGTAGATATGATAGGCAATACCCTTTGTACAATAAGGCTTTTTTGTCTCACAGTTCTGCCTCGTTTACTAAAACGTGTCTTAAACTTCTGTATTTCAAAAATAAAATTATTTTATAAATCAATATTTAATTTAAAAAAAAAAATACAAAATCAAAACGAACATCTAACTGTGTTTTGAATGCATCTGGAGTTCCAATTTTGTGATAAGTTTGTGGAATTAAAGGTCTCCTGAAAGTCGATTCTTTTGTCGAAAGAATTCGAGAGGAGATCACAGTTTCGTTACTTCCAGAAGTATTGTCATATACTTTACTTGTGCCATATCTATGTTTTGCTATGGATAATAATTTTTGTAATGTAAGACAAAGATTGTCGTTATGTAAACTTGTTGATGTAGATTCTCCAATATGTTCTCGATGATTCCAATCCCACCAATATTCCAATGTTACTTTTGATTCGCGACCAAACTAGAAGACTTAGAAAATTAGAAATGATGCGTTTCTGATGAATAAAGTTCTAGTAATTTTAAACTTTTATTCAACATAGATTTAAATAAAATGTATACCATTAAAAAGAGATCTCCTACAGTGATGGTGTTTGCTTCTTCAATATTCCATCCTTTACGAATTCTTTCAATAGTTTCTCTGCCCGGAAATCCATTAAATTCTGTTTGTTGTTCTAGACTAGAGGTTTCGGAATTATTAACAGTCGATGGTTTTTCCGAAACATTACTACCAGATTCTATCACATCTATATCACTATTATTATCTGGCATGATACAATTATCTTCTGTACGATTCATATATTTTTTATCCATTTTATTTTTCTTGATTCCCTTTTTTCCAACACCTTTTAAATATTGTACAGATCCTAACATATCCATTCTGGAACTTTTCAGACCTAAACGTTTTTCATAAGAATTTAAACTAACACTATTACTAGTGAGATATTCTCCAAGATTCACCATTGGTAATGCAATTTTACTTCCTTCAGGTGGTGCCACTCGTAACAATCGAGTATCTTTCATTTCGTTAGTAATAGCATTTTCTACATTAGGGAACTATGTTATATGTATAGGATTTTTTCATATTATATACTTTTATTATAGGATACTTTTAATTATTTATGATATATATAATATAAATAATTTATATTAATTATTATTATTAATTATTATTAGTTATTAATTATAATTTATATTATATTAGCAATCTATTATGAAAAGGATACTGTATTATATTTTGCAGGTCTCCATTTTTGTTGTAAAAATATTAATAAACTTGACAAACGTCTTTGTATAGGCAATAAGGTGCGTATTCTTGGATTCATTGATGATGCTTGTACTTGCCACCATGCCATATTATTACGAGGTCTTAATTCAATTGTTATTCTAGAAGGAAGTTTAATTTCTTCTTGCCAATCTATGAAAACATTATAATGTTAAATATTTCTTGAATTATTATAAGATTTTAATTATTAAGAATACCTTCTAATTGATTCAATTTTCTTAATGCTCTACATATAGGTGTTTTAATTCTCATAGTTTTTCCTCTGAGTCTGACTTGTGTTGAACCCCAATAAACAAGTTCATTTAGCTTTAAATGTACTTTTTCATATATTCGTGGTAACTTTCTTCTAAGTTCACCATAATTAATTAATCCATATAATTCTTGTGAAGTTTTTTTCACATCTGAAATGAAATATTAATGAAACATTTATTAAATGAAAATTAAATTATGGCAATTTATTAATCAATTACCTTCTGAAAATTTTAAATGTTTTGATATTTTTAACCAAGTTCTATAATAAAAATGTCTTATTTGTTCCTTATTTTTTATTGCAACATCTGGCAAACCTTTTTTCTTTCCTTGATTTAAAAAATAACTTTGCAAAGCATCAAAGTCTTTTCCATATTCGTTCAATGCTTTGAAAAAGGTATTTTTATCTTCCATGGACCATAATTCACAAGATCTTTTTAGAGATCTTACTTTTACTTCCGTGTTATTTTCTTCATCCTTGGAATCTAAACATAGATATAAGTAATTTCTTATAATTATACAATCAAATAAAATTTAATTAAGAATTAAATAAGAAATTATTTCATTATCCATTTTATTGAATTCTTTTGATTAATATATATATTATCAATTAATAGTACAAATACAAACCTTTCTTTTCTAAATTATTACCATCACAAATATCTAATTTCATTTTTTTAGTTCCACGAACGACACGAACTTGAGTATTCTTGGAATCCGTGGATATTTTCGTTTCTGAACAGTTTTGTACATTTTGAGATAAAACTTCTTCTCTTTTGGTAATTGAATTGATTCCCTGAATTTCACAATCTTCGTTTTTTGTGTTATTTTCCATTCTAATGTCTTCACAAAAAATATAAAGCGATCTCAACAATTTCAAATCCTTAGATGTTTCGAATTTTATAACATATTAAAACATGTATTACTTTGATCAACAACATTGTCAATTTATGATGAAAAATATTTGCATTATTTGTAGCATTAATATCATAATTCAATCAAGAAATTGTATAAAAACTCGTTTTAACATAATTAGACTTCGGAAACAAACGTAGCAGTGATTTATTACTGCGTTAAAACGTAATTATATTCGTATGTACACACAATTATGAACACAAGCTTTTTCAAAGCTAATACTCATTGATGATTCAAAAGAATCTAATTTATATATAAATATATATAGAACGTAATCGAAAAATTACGTAATTATGAAAATTTAATGATGTTGAATTCCAAAACATGATAGATACTCATTACTGTGCGTTCTTACAGATTATACAATTCTGAGCGTGTTTTCGAGCAGATCGAATATGTATTTATTTAAAATAAAATCTAGAAATTAAAAAATAATAAGCAATTTTCTTGTAAGCAGATACATATTATAAAATTATCCACTTAATTAAAATAATTATCAGAATAATTAATTAACATATTTGTAAAATTCTTTCCAAAATATCAAACAGTTGTATCATATCATTACTTCACTCCCCAAGAAGACATTTTACAAATAATTTTCGCGCTACACTGGCGCTAGTAATAGTTTACTGTGCAACTGCAACGCTAAGCCAATAAAATCATGTGAATAACCATACACAGGGCCAATTGAATTTTTTGTTTTTTACATATAGAAAAATATATTGTTGTTTCCGATCTAAATTAATGATTTTTCACAATGTTGTTCATGGACAGTGGCCTTGATAGGAAAACTCGACACACAGCAGAAGAGCGGAGTGTACTTAATTAATAAATCAATCGATTTTAAGAAGAGATCTCGGACATTGACCGACGCCTTGATGGGGTTAATAACGATGGTGTATTACTCGGTTGCAGAGCTACTAATATCATAATCGATTACGCGTGTTATGCACTCGTCAAATTGCATTGCCATCCCGGTTTTGATAATTGTAACCTTGGATATATTCACTATTGCGGGTCTACGTCAAAGGTGACAACGGGCCAAGAGTATTCGGTTTTATTTGACTTGTAGCAACTGCGCAAGGGGGGCGCGAGGTGTCAGTGACAAGGTGTAACTAACCTTAAAATGCGATCATCCGTGATTACTAATGTGATTGTACTGTTCGGATTGCATTTCTTGTATTGGTGTTGCAACACAGTAGATGCTAGCGGCGGGGCCCTTGATGCGAGTTCGAACTTTCAGTCTGGCTCCACTGGAAGTTCACATTCCAAAGTCACAGCATTCTCCGCCACACTCACAGATGGACTAGCACAAGCTGTGGCTCACGAAGCTGGTAAATTTTCTCCTCTTTTTATCAATGTTTTGATTGTTGTCTGAAAATATTATTTAATTTATATTATGTTTATTGTATTTTTAATCTTTTTGTTTGTTTTATTAATTCTGTATTTAAATTTTTTATATGTATATATAAATTTTTTATGGAGCATGTATTTAATTTGTAGAAAAAAGTTGGGTTTGATTTGCATTTTGTGTGAAGATATTAAAAAGAAAAATTTAAAGTTTTCTTTTAATTTGGTATTATTATTGGTTACAAAATAGATAAAAATGTGTTTATGATAAAAATTCATATTAAAAAAAATAAATTTCATGAATGATCATTTTTTTTTAAAGATAATTTATATTTTCATTTAATAATAATATATCATTGTGCAGATTAATTTAGTATCTATTAACAACTGACTTTTTCAATTTTTGTATTAATAATAATTGGATGAAAAGCTTCTTAAACATATTTAACAGGGACAAGCATAATTCTATAAAAAATGGCACCTGTATAACAAATTACATATAATCATAAACACATACAATCAAACGTAGGCTGTTTAATTTATTACAGGTTCTGATACTTGTAACGATGACCTAGCTTGTCTTACAACAATGGCTTCTCATGATCGACTAGGTTTGGAAGCTATCAAGTCACTCCATAGTCAACTAGATGATGATGCCAATGGAAATGTGGACCTATCGGAGTCAGATGATGTAAACAAATTTTTATATATAATTTATTTCATATAATTAAAATAAAAATTTTTTTTATAAAAAATAAATCTTTTTAGTTTTTAAGAGAAGAATTACAATATGAAGCTGGATATGAAAGAAGACAAAGGGCTTTTCATCATAATGATGATATGCATATTAGTGTTCGAGAACTTTGGGAAGCCTGGTTAAGATCAGAGGTATTATCTAATATATTCTTTTATATTCTTTTGATATTTTATCATTTATATATATATTTTTTTCTTTTACAGGTTCATAATTGGACTATAGAACAAACATCAGAATGGTTATCTTCTAACGTAGATCTTCCACAATATGTTCCTACTTTTATACAACACCGTGTAACTGGTGCTACACTTCCAAGGTGACTTTCTATAGAATAATATATCATTATAGAATAATATATCATTTTTATATTATACAAAAATTTCTTGTACAAAAATATATCCTGATTTTTTTCAGGTTAGCTGTGAACAATATGCATTATTTGACTAATGTATTAGGTATCAAAGATCCCATTCATAAACAAAAAATTGCCTTAAAAGCTATGGATGTAGTTCTCTTTGGACCGCCAAAGGGTAAATAATTATTAAAGTATCTTTCATTAATAGATTCTTTAATTAATTATTTAATACTTTGTCATAGATACTGGACATAGTGTGAAAGATTTGATATTAATAACATTATTATTTGGCGCGCTTATTGGTTGCTGGTATGCATATCAGCAGAAGAAAAATTCACAGAAACATCTTCACAGAATGATGAAAGATATGGAGAGTTTACATAAAGCAGAATTAGCATTGGAAGACTTGCAAGTATGTTATTTTATTTTTCTTTCTATCTTATCAATATTTAATAACTTTATATTTAATTTTATTAATATTATAATTTATGGTTTTTTACAGAAAGAATTAGAAAGAGCACGAATGGAACAAGAAAGTGTAACTACCGAAAAACAGAATTTAGAAAAACGTTTACAAGATGAAAGTGTAGGATTACATGCTTCTTATTCAGATCTTGAAGTATCTCAATTAAAAGCAGAAATTGAAGTAAATATTTTTCTCTATATTCTTATATTATATTATATCTTATATTAAATGTTTTTTCATGTAATTAATTTCTACTCAACAGATGTTAAAAGTTGAATTGCAACGTGCAGAGGGTGAACTTGAAGATAGATGCTGGTCTCCTCCTCCTGGATTGCAACATTGGCTACAATTAACTCATGAAATTGAAAATAAGGCATATACGAAGAAAAAAATAAGTGCAGAAAAACAATTGCAACAAGCGCGAGAAGCAGTAAGTAATGGATTTTTTTTGTAATTAAATAAAATATTTTTATATATTAAAAATATGTAATGTAATTGTATATATTAATTTTAATAAATCTTTGCTAGTGTGAAAAACTACGAAAAAAACGATCAAGTTTAGTAGGAGCATTTGTTTCAACCCATGGAAAATCGATCGATGAAGTTGACAAAAGTATAGTGGATGCAAGAACTGCATTAAACGAAGTCACCGCAGAATTACAAGAAAGAGTACATCGTTGGAAACAAATTGAGCTCTTATGTGGCTTTAATATAATCAATAATAATGGTCTAAGCTATTTAGAAACTGTTTTATATAGGGGGACACCTAATGGGCGAGGTCTTGGATTCAGAGGTATATATATATATATGTATATTTATAAAATCAAAATTTTTAATTAATATTTATTTATTTAGATATCTAAAGTATCTTGTAATTCACAAATGATTTTTATATTTTGATATGATTGTTATTAACATTAACACAAATGCAACATTGTCAGTATTTTATGTAACGATTTTGATTTAGTTTATTATTTTAATTCTCATATAATTTCAATAGATTTTTAACAACAAATAATATAAATATCTATCATTATTTATTGTATAAATTGATGTTTATAGGTCGACACAGTAGTCAAGATGATTTAGACGACGAAGCAAGCTCAGTGTATTCACCTTCATCATGTGGTGCCGCAGGTAAGCTGGAAACGGACTTCCACGAGCATTTAGATTGATAATAACAATGCTCAATATTGTACATATTGTAACTTTGATATAATGACATTTACCATATCTAAATATTTTTCACTTTTTATTTTTCTCTTTGTGTCTTTCTTTTTTCCCCTTTTTCTTCTCTTTTAATATATATACATATGTATATTTGATATGGACGTTGTCTTCGAAATTAATAATTTACTAACTTGTTTGTCTTCCTAATAATAATTTGGATTTTTTCAATTGACATTAATGTCTCTTAATTAGTAACTCTAATTTTACAACGTACATATGTATTCGAAAAAATAAATTGTCATATGTACTCTTATTCGAATTGAATTCTAAATTTTTATTAATATTTTTTAATTACTTTATAAATTTTAAATTGATTTTTATTAAATTTGTAAAGTAATTTATAAAAATTTCTTAATGAAAATTTTGAAATCAAATTTTCATTAAAAAAAAATTCACGTGATGCCTTAAAATTTTTCTTTTATAAAAAAATAAAAAAATAATTTTGACGAATCGTAAAATGCGGTTAATGTCACACATTACGAAGATTTTAATATTTTATATAAAAAAAAAATATACTTAAGGAATACAAAAGTATATAAAAAAAATATATATTTTTAAAAAATAAAATTTTTAATAAAAAAAATTAATAAAAAAATTGTTATATATATATATATTAAAAATAAATAGAAATTATTATATATATATTTTTTAAAACATTTTTGTATTGTTAAGTTTGATTATATTCTTGTTTTGTGTCTGTTATAAATTATTGCATAAATTACGCTGTAAATGTTGTTGATTCGTTGTTTTGTTTTTTTTTTTAAGTTTACTCAAATTGTTCAATATTGCTTACACAATTTTTTGTGCCTTTTTTCCAAACTAATTCTTGTTTTATAAAATTTATTTATAACTTAAAATGGAAGTATAAATAATATAAATATAAATACTTTTTATGTTTGAATAATTGTATTAACAACTCGAGTTGTTTTTATGATAAAAATACAAAAATTTCTTGATACTTATTTCTTAGATTATTATTTGTTTATGTTATATTATCATTTGCTTCTAGGGATGGAAGAAACTATACTTAGTGGTCCAAAAAAAGATTAATGAAGCTACATAATCAAAATTTTTTAATATATTTTTATGCATATTATTTATCTTGTATATTGTATGGAGACTTATTTAAAATTTAAGAAAATTATAGTTGTTAAGAGATTGTTATTATTATTTGTCAAATAATTACATATTGATATATGTAATATATGAATATTTATTAGTATATATTACATTAAAGTAATGTGTGACACGAATAAAATTTTTATAATTGAGAGTGCATTATGTCAAATAGCTGCTTATAAAGCTTTTCCTTTGACATAACAATAAATTGTCGAAAGAGCATCAGATTTTTAGTGAATCTAATCAGGATTTGTGTGCAGGAAAAAGGAAGATTTGAATTAAAAATGTTCCCTTTTCCTAATCAAGATTTGTCAAGTTTTAAATAATGACAAACCTTTTGATTCATTGTTAACTTTAATACATTTATATATACAAATATAACTGGAGCAATGTATAATCACTATATAATTATACATATCGAGTTGTTTTTTACAACTACCCTTTCGTATAAATTATAAAATAAGAAATTATATGATGATAGTTTGAAGAAAGAAACATGACATATTTTTGTATTAAAATTTTCATAATATATCAAACAAACGAACGAAGCCACAATTTAGTGGTGATAAAAAAGATAAATTTGATATTTTTATAAATATTATTTTTACAAATAATATTTGTGTTATTCTTATAAAAACAAAAATTTTCAATTTTCTTTTTTTTCAGTAAGGAATACGTGTATTTATAAGTGAAAAAAATGATACAAAAATTTAACCTATAAACAAAATTTAAATAATCAAGAAAACAAAGAAAACAAGTATTATTTTGCTTCGAGTCTTATAAAAGAAAATTTCAAATATATATTATCGGCAAATCTATCTTTAATATTGTTTTTTTCTTTAATAAAATTCAAGATATCTACCAATCCAATTATTAATCTGCGTAATTTGCTATTATTATTAGATCAATTCTCGTCTCGATCACGACTTTGATTATTCGCTGATTATTCAGAGCATCGTGATTAAGTTATAATAAGCTTTCAAGTTCGTTCGTTTTCAATATGCAATATGTCGAATAAGGCGATTAAGATGCCAAACACGATAATTATTTAATTATTACATATTTAATAAGTTTTCATGATCGATCATCACCTGTATATTGTATTTAATTAGATAAAAATAGGAAATCGCAAGGACGATTATAATTTTTATCTATACTGATTACTTCGCTAGTTTTTTTTATCTCGTTTTAGAAATCGCGAAAGCGTTTTTCTCGTTTTCACCAAGAGTACATTTCCAATTTTGTCAGATTTGTAACAAACATATTGTTGCACAACATAGTTTCGTATTAATAGGTTCGAATTAAAGACGAACGCAGCATCCAATTTTAATTGGACGATCGTATGTTTACATTACTGGAGGTGCAATTTACTTAGATATTTTCTTCCGCAATAATTCTATTTATCGCGATTATCTTTCGCCTTATGGGATGTTATCGATTTAATTTAACAATGAAAGATTTTATTTGTTCAAGATTATACTTCCCATCAGAGATTCCATGAGATGTTACTTTTCGTTTCTATTGAATTTTTTTTTTTTTAAATTTAAAAAAACAAACCATTTTTTAATACTTTGTTCGAATTTATCTTTTATTCTATCACAATTAATACGCGCAAAATATTATTATTATTTCCAATCTTTTCCGACGAATGAATAATTCATTTTTTTTTTTTTTTTTTTTTTAAAGACTTACGAGTTATTAAACGATCGAAAAATTTCAATTTTCTCTACGTTTATAATAAAATAAGAATCATAAGAAATTGCTTCTCGCAAGGAAATATTGTTCTAGGAAGTGGAAGGAACCTTGAAAAACGTTGAAATCTTTGTAACTTTAGATCATTAGAAATCGCTTGTCTGCAATATTTTCTAATTCCTAGGATTTTAAAACGATAAATGATGCCAAGAAAGAAATTCTATTTCCTGGGGAGATCCACGTCACGTTTAAGATTAGAGCCAATTAAAATTAGATGCGTAGATTATATATACGATCGAAAATTTTGTTCCATAATCCTTGCATACCCTATATATAATGCGATAATATGAATACGCTCTCTGAAAACGTTTTGTTAAATTCAAATCGAGAATCGAGTGGCAATGGAAACGCTCTTCATTTTTTTCCACATATATTATTATATATATTAATGTACAAGTATTAACTACCAATGAATTGTATATACAATGTATATGTATATGTACACGTATAGACACATGTATAGTCCACAGAAGAAGAATGGACAATTCGTGATACATTGTCTGATAAGTCACAACACAAGTTATTACGTTCCCTCATTCAAATGTTTTATTATGCATACAATTTATATGATCGTAGTTAATAAATCAAAAGCAATTAGAAAGAGAGAGAGAGAGAGAGAGAGAGAGAGCAACTATACGAAGCTATACACGAGATTTTTGTATACGATATTCAAATCGAAAGAAACATTTCAATATGATTGAGATTTTAATATGTAATTTTAATTTTAATTTTCTTTTTTTTTTGCAATGTTGGAATAGAATTAGAATTTTCTGCTTCTATGAAATTTTTTTTTTTTTTACCTCATTAAATTTTTACTTCGATCTTCTATTTAATTATTATTTATTTAATTGTTAATTAAATACATATATGTTGTGAATTTATTAAACACACGTACATATGTTTTTTTTTTTTTTAAGAACGACTTGAATTAAAATTACATATTATACAATTTTTATCTTGACTTGGAAATCAAACTTAATCGTATTAACATTAATAATATATTAATTCTTGATAAAAATTTTTTGTAAGTTTTAAGCTACTTCTATATCGGCTACCATCTTTGCGTTAGACACTTAACGAATGACATTATGATACATACATATATATATATATATATATATACATATATAAAAAACTATATTTTAAAATATTAAATCGTTTTTTAACACCGTATTTAACTTCATTATGCAATGAAGTTTCCTTTGCATTATTGATCCGATATTAAAAATAAAATGAGAAAAGAAACTAGAAACTATTTATTGTCATAACGTTAAGTACATGTTAAGCGTCCGGCATGAAGGAGTCGATATAAACGTATATTTGATGAATGCGCGCCAGAAATGTACCAATGATATTTACAAATACTGTTGTTAAAATAACCGAGAGTCTAAAGGTTATCTGCGGGTTATTAAAAAAAGATTTTCTTCGAACAAAAAAATATAAAGACATTTAAAGACATATTTTTTTTCTCTTCTAGTTAAAATAAACAAAGAAGAATCAAAAATATTTTTCTCTGTATAATCTTGTATCCTTTGTAATTATTTCGTTATTATTTTAAATTATCGTAGAATATATATGGTATATGGAAAAAAATTTTTATCAAAATTTAATCAATGAAAATGTTTGATTATCCGTAAAAAAAAAAGTTTTATCAGCGATTTCTCGCGTTCTTTTTCATCAAAACAAGGGACTAAACTGCGCTCTATGATAAAGTATACGATATATATATATATATATATACTTTGAATCGCATGCAGAAAGTTCTCTTAGAATCCACATGACGCATAGTTCGGAAGAATTTTTTTTCTTAGAAGTAAATGCTGTAAATTTTACTATTGTTAATCATCATCAATTTTCTTTTCGCATTATCTGCGTTTTTTAAAATAAGATTTACGAATATTATCATATGAATATTATTATTACGAATATTAACATATATATATATGTTTGTTAAAAGAGTAAAAAAAGGATTGCGATGAGATAAAAAAATTTATACTATATCGATACTGTGGAATATAAAAAAAAAAAAGGAAAAAGTATTATCTATTCTGTTGTTTTGTTTCTCTTCTTCCTCTTCATGAATTCTGCATGAAACTCGATCTTTGATACCGTTTTATTCTGAAATCGGAAATATCTAACATTAGCTTATTTGAACAATTTGATTAAAAATATTCTTTAATATAGATACCTGATAATATGGACAAAGCTGTTGCTGAATCAATATTCCTTGAAAATTAACACTCTTTTCTAGCTTCTTCTCGAAATAATCTTCTCTCACTGTTGTTATTCTACTAATATAATTAATTAAATTAGTTTATTTAAATTTTCAAACCTCTTCAAACATTTAATTTTCACACTTATATAAGCCCAATTCTTAATTTCAATTAATGAACATAATCGGTATACAGATATTTTTATAAAATTTTTTTAATTAATTTATTTAAAAAATTCAAATATAAAACGAAAAGAAACTATTGATTTTAAAAACACTGATTACAAATTAAAATGATGATATAATTGAAATTTTTCTATCTTGTGTATCAACAGGTACTATGGACAACTTGACGTGGAAAGAATCATCAGTTCCACCAGACTCGTCGAGCAGCGAGACAGGAAAGGAGACACCGCCGGAGAGCAACGTGGTACACTTCACGGTTGGCGATGGGCCGGATGAGCCTGTCAGATCGTCTAACAAAGAGAAATGCGGCATTGTCCGTTCTTACAGCCAGGACACGAACATGCTCCTTCCTGTCGAAGACAAAACTACCTCATCATTCCTCTCCAAGACGTCTTACTCGGAAAATTCGTTGGACTCGTCTAACCAGGATCGAGGAGGGCAGCAAAGAGTTGTTCCGAATCCATGCACGGTCCCGGCCTCGAGCGTAACGAGCATCAATTCCGCGAGCGGCCAATCATGTTCGAATAACAGGAAGGGGGCATCGAAGGAGGGACAACCAACATCGACGGTTGACGACGTCGAAACGTTATCGACTGATTCGAATTCCACCATGGACAACGACGATCTGAAAAAACGATCCCGCAAGATCCTGTTTGCGTTCAAGAGGAACAAGCCAAAGGTTACGTGGTGAAGAAGAGAACCTCTCGAACCTAGTCAACGCGACATAATACGATATACGTGGTATACTAATCCGTATCTGTGCAACATTTCTTACTTAACACTGATTACACTACGCGATCCGATTAGTTATTGTTATTATTGGCTATTATCGAGCCGCGACGTGCACTTAAAAGGGGGAAAAAACAAAACAAAAATATACACATACACATACACACACAAAAGAAAAATGAAAAAGAAAAAAAAAATAGAAAACGAAGTTTTGTCTCCAAGAATCGGTCGGTAATTGATTAGCGATCACGCCCTGCCGATACGTGTAAATAATATGTATACTATGCATCTATCATGTATACACATATGTATACACATGGGATTAGAGAAACAGAGGTATAGCCGTGTAGAACATCGTTGGAGGAATTCATCGTTAAGGACACTTTGGTCTGGATTATTGATGTTGAGCCATGGTTCGAGCCATGATGTTTATATCGAGAGATTTATTCAAAATTTCATATCAATATATTGAGAGATTATACACGAAAAATAAATATTTATTTTTAAACTGCGATATTTCATATGAATTCGTGCAATTGAATTTAGTAGTAGTTTAGAAACTTTAAGAAATTTCGTTTAATTGGTCTAATAAATAACACTGTTGGCGTGTATAATTAATGTTAAGGCTCTTTATGCAGAATATTGTAAACATTGATCTATGTTAAAAAGTGTGTTGAAGAAGAAACTTCATTATAAAAAAAAAAAAAGAAAAAAGAGAATTGTACAGTGTGAAAAGCATAATGGAATCGATATATATCAATGATTAATTATAGTAGTGTCGAAGATTTTATTAATTAACGAATATAAAGAAAATCAAACATAATGGGTAATTTAATGGAGAGAAAAAACGATGTTCTACCGTGCTATTGTTGAGTAGGATGTTTATAGTGTCCCGGTGTGTCTTCTGTTTTGCCAAATATTCGTTTTGTTCGCAAACGAGGCACCACCAAGCGACATTCTTATCTTAGTTAGATTTTTTAAATTCGCGATGCCGAATTCTTTAACCACGACAATATTCTAATTCAGGGATGGGCGATCTTTAACACTGCGCTTCCGTTTTCGCGTAACGATAGCTTTTTTTTTTTTTAATTTTTCAATTGTACTTTCAATTGACTTTATCCCGTGACATATTTCTTTTTTTTACTTATTCATTTTATTTCATATATTTAATCAATGCAGTCAAGTTTCAGCTTTTAATTAGTTTCCACAAGGATAAAAGAATCTCAATTCTAAGCTTATTGCTTATTAACTAAATTTTGTAACATTTGTTACGGAAATTTTTTTTTTTAAACAGCGAGAAACGAGTTTTTTCTAAAAAGAATCATTCAAATTATCAATCGACTATTCGAGAAAAAAAATAAAATTTTCTCTATCATTTTTTAAAATTGTTAGAAAAAGATATTAATATTATTGAAAAAATTGAAATTTTAATTTTAAATATACAACGACATATATCGTAATAATAGTCTTTCTTCGAAACAATGGAGATACTCTTCTTATCCATTCCCATTCTTTCATACATTTTCATTTTTAATTTACTTCGACTATTATTTAATTAAATTAATTTAATGAAAAATTATTTAAATGAATCTGTTCATTGATTGATTTTATTTCATCGATTATAACGTATTACCTATCTAATCTTCCATTTCTCTATAACGACACTCGGCCTAAGTGTATCAATAATCTTCGTTGTAAAAATTATCCAACAAATTTCGAGAAATTTGCTCCAAGAAGCAGTATACAATTCATGATTTCTGTATTATAATTTCAATTTCGATTTTTATTTGAAGACAAGCGATCGCTCATTCCTAGATCCTTCGAGTCATATCTTTTATCGCGTAAAAACTCGAAATTGTAACGCATTAAAGCTTTTTATTTTTTTTTTTTTTTTTTTTTCGCCAATGACATTAGTAATTTTTTGTTTAGATGTAAATATTTTTACTTTTTTTCTTTTCTTTTTTTTTTTTTTTGCGCTATTATTTTTATTTTTAGACATATTTTTTTTTTTTTTTAAGTTTTGACAATATAGGCCGAGCAATAAATCAACGACGCTCTTCCATTTCAAACTTTTTTTCTTTTTTTCTAAATTTCATCTAGTTTTTTTTTTTAATATACGTACATTTAACACGAAACACAATCTCATGAGTTTTAACATTTCTTCGTCTTTTCTTTGTTTTTTTGCAAATTGCATTTTTTTTTTAAATCGTTACTTTTACTCACACAAAGTTATTATTATTTTATTCATATTTATTCAAGTTAGCATATTATATATTTATACTTTTTAAAAAAAATTTTCTTTTTTTTTTTAGAAATTTAATGATAATAAAATATTTTCCATTCAATCGCGCATAATTAAAGTGAAGTGAATATTAAATTTATTGGTGAACTTTACATTACATTTGTAAGGAATAGAGCTATATTCTAAAATAGGTGATAATGTGTATGTGATAAGAGATACGTCATCTCAGAAGTAATGTGATCTCTCTTTTTTTTTATGTAATGATATTTAAGACAAAAGGACATACGATTGTTTTGATTTTATGTATATATTATTTTTATATTTCTATTTTGTAAAATAGAAATAATAAGGATTTGAGATTGATAATTCTATTATCATAATGAATCAATTTTCATTTTTTTTTAAAGTAGAAAGAAATAACAAAAATTATAACTTAACAAGAGAGTTATTATTTTTTTTCTTAATAAAATTTCAACAGAATTTATTTATTTTTGAAAAGGACGATATTGTTATTTTATTGGCATGATTTATTATTTTGTACCTTCTTACATACACTTCATAGAATTACTTATGGGATGATGTAACAATTAACTATAAATGAATTTAGGACATTAATCCTTTGAGGTTCATGATGATTTATAAATAGAATATATTGAGAAGCAATAATTATTAAGACTTCTTCATTTTTTTCTATACATGACTTTACATAATGAAGTTTGAAAGTATTACTAGATTTAATATATAGATAAAACTCAGGAACCTTAAAGGAAATTCTCAGGTGATGAGATTTTTGAGAAAGGAAGAGAAATAAGATAAAAAAAAAATGATTTTTTTTTCTGCTTGCTGTCATATCACGAGAATATGTATTGATATTATTTATTATATATTATTTTTTTTTTTTTTTAAATACAAATTAAGAAAATTTGCATACGAATCAAAGCATTTTACGGTCGCGTCTTTGTTTCGACTTTGTACGTCGTTGATCTTCTTTTTTTTCTTTCTTTTTTTTAATTTCACATTTATATTGCGACACCTGTTGTACTTCACTTTTTTTTTTAGATATTTAGGTAATGATGGTCCGTCTGATATTAGTCATTAGTCATTCAAGGTCATCAATGTCCATCGTTTTCATCGTTTCTTAATTTCCAAATCTAACAGGCTTTCTCTAATTTTTATATTTTATATTTTATGACAATAGAGAAAGTCTGATAAATGTAAAAGATTATTGAACGATGTAAAATGAAGGAAAATAAGTGAAATATTGTCAGTACTACTATTTTTGGAATGTTAAAAAATTGTAAATATGAAAATATAAGAGAGAAAAAGTGATAATTTGTATTTTGAAGTATGATCTTGAATAACTTGACTTGTTTTTTTTGGACAGACTATAGAGTTAACTTATTATCACCCCCCCCCCCCCCCCCCCTATCGTACACATATTTCCCTATAATTGCTATGTGTGCTAATGAATATAAAATCGAATAGTTTCTTCCTTTCTTATTATACTTTTTTTTTTCTTTATACACAGGCTTTATATATATTCAGACAAAAAGAGGGGAGAATATTTAAGGGATGATTTTAAAGACTGAAACAAGTACAAAAGTTAGTATGCAAGAATATCCATTCAATCCTTATTTTTCATATTATAAGCAACTCAACGTTTCTCTTTGTCCCATCTAGTATAATTAATTAAATGGCTCTTAATTAATGGCTCTTAAATTGAAAAATAAGTTGTATAATGCATACTTTTCTGCGTACTTTTGTATTTAATTTAGAATTGCATCTTAAATCTTCTTCTCGCATCGTAGAAATATCCTGTATGTGTACAACGTGTACACAACATACACACATATATATACACATACATATATACATATTGTAGAAGAAAATGCGGCGAGGCTGGAACTCTCTGAAACTTGTTTTCATTTCAAAGAACAAAGACAGCGTGGTAAAAACTGATGTGCTCCCTCCCTCGTGTTTCATTATCTTTCCGTGAATCGATTTTATGATATTTTGAAACAAATTCTATCTTAAACGTTCATTATTCATTCGAATTTTAAATGGAATTTGAAACTTGCGAAGCGGAGACAAAATTTAGAAAAATTTATGTTGAATGAAAAAAATGAAACCACGGAGAGATTTGGATGAATATATATTCTTTGTATTCCACTTGTATTCCCTATTTGATCTAGACAATTTATCTATTTTCGCTTGATCTCTTTTGTGCTATCAGATGTTTTTTTTTTTTTTTTTTTTTAATAATGTGCGTTTTTTTTGTCGTGTATTTTCACCTAAGCGTCCAAAAGTAGCGGATTTTCCATTCACTCACACTTTGAGTTTTACACGTCTTCCAGAGAATATTTCTCGCAATCCCTTTCTTTTGCTTCTTTTTTCGTCTTCTTTTCCTAAGCAATACGCATTCCCCGACTTATTGTTTCGATAAATTCAACACTCCTCCTTTAGGCACAAACTGACACATTTGCATCTCAGGATTGAATCTCGATTTTTTTTTTCTGGTAATAATAATCGAGAATGAAGAATGAAGGTTTTTTTTTTCGAAGTATACCTTCGAGATCACATGATTTTGGAGACGATACCTTTGGAGAGAAGTTTCGATATACACATCGATATACACATGAATAATTGTTACATATTGGATGTATTTAATGTTATTATTATTCGAGATTTTCCAGATTTAATTTTAAGAACAAAATACGAAGAAATTGGCTCCGAATTGAATTAATTTGAACATTGAATTTCCATAATTTATTATATTAAGATATCGTACACAAAGGCAAACAAGATATGCATGCAGCTTTAACGAGTTTTTGTCAAGATATCAAATTACGTCAAAGGTACACAACGTCGAAAGTACACAAAGTTGACCGGTAAAGGTATCAAATTCCAAATAAGAGAAACCAAATAAGTAACCAAGTAAATAAGTTCTCATTTTTTTAACTAGTTGAATTATTAAAATATCACGTTATTTAATTGTTAATATCGTTTATCGCGAAAATACAAAAATTATTCTGGAAATCTCGAATGGTAAAATACACATATATGTTGTACCGATTGTAAGAACGCGTATATCATAAGAGAGCAATAGACGAAAGGATTTGACATTCAATGGACCAAGTTCGATTAAATGTACATAAATGAGAAACAAAAAAAAAAAAAAAAAAAAAAATAATAATAATAATAATAATAATAATAAACGATAGTTGGAAGGATCGAAACGATCTTCTAGGCTCAATTAGCATCATAGATAGTAGGGAACGAAGAAATTGTTATAATTATATTGTTCATATAAACTTTTAACTTTGATGAAATGTTATTACAGCTTTCAAGGGCTTCCGGATTAATACAATTGTAAAATAATTATAACTATCAATTTTATCGTGATTCACTAGTTGTGCCCACCTGCCAATTTTATTACAAATTATAAATTATATGATTGTTAGAAAAAAAAAAAATATAAAGAGAAGGTCCAATCTTTAGTTGGAATATTTTTTGAATTTTTTGAAAGTTTTTTGAAAATTGATCGAAATAATAGATGAGATTACGAAAACATTATGTTAAATTTCAAAATGTGTGTCAATTAATCTGATCGTTGGGACAATTTTAACCAAGATGATTTAGTGATCGGCTAATCGGATGAGGAAAATGAAATATCGTTTGGAAAATATAGGTCGATAATTTTCAACTCGCAACTCGTGTATCAAGAGAATATATTTTTTTTTTGCAGTTTTTTGGAATAGAAAAGTTTATTTTCGTTCCATGTTTTTCAAAATTATACGATAAAATAAAATAAAATAAAATAAAATAAAAGACTTCAATGAGCAAATGAATAATAAAATCCTACAACTTATGATACGTACGATATTCTCGATAGATCATTTTAATCCTCACGGATGGCTGAATTTTATTCCAAAATGAAATAAATTTGAATTCAATATCTCGCTTTTATCTAGCCATTGAAGTCGTGAATCGTTCGACAGGATTAATATCCTATGTATAAACTATGTTTCGTTTTGTCGATGATTTTAAAGAGAGAGAGAGAGAGAGAGAGAGAGAGAGAGAGAGAGAGAGAGAGAGAGAGAAGTCGAGTCGTTGATCAACCGTGTGAAATCTTTATAGAATCCCTTATTATAAGATAGTCGGTATACAGAATATAAAATCAAGGATCAATTTTATCATAATACTGTTTGTAATACTTCTCTTTGCGAAAACATATTCCTCATATTATAAATCCTGACCATCTTGACTGAAGAACAAATCACACACCGTCCGAAAAATTGTATACCGTCCTTACAAGACGAGATCTCGCGTGATTGTAATATCGAGATAGGATATATGCGATTATCGATTTATATTCGAAAAATTGAATATGGCGATCGTTCATTTATCCGTGGTGGAATGGTCCCTTCGTTGGTATACTTTTTTCTGTTTCGAAAAATTCAAACAAAATCATCGAGGATTGTGTAAATAGGGTGAAAAAAAAAAAAGAATTTGTACGAGAATAAAATGTGTCAGCTTCGTTTTAATGTCTTAATTCGTGATTGACCCATTAAGTACCAGTTTTTAAAATGATTTTCCAAATTATGAATATTTGATATATAATATATATATATTAGACGAGTTCCTTTTAGTGCTCCTTTCGTTTTATCGAATAGTTGTAATAGTTTTTAAGTAATCATAATAGTATAGTGTTAACCATTCCTAAAAACTAATTAATAATTGTTGAAAATTCGTAATAATTTATTCGAAAAATGATTTAGCGATTAAAAAGATAAACATATCTATGGAAATATAATATAATGTAAGTACTTTATATATCCGAAAATAAAAATTATACAAAACAAATTGTTGTTAGCTTAGGTAATAAAAAATCTTCGATCTGTTGATCCTGGCGATCAAGCTTTGCTATTTTTCTTCGCGAATTTAGTTGATTTTCTTAGATTTTTCAGTTTTTCTTTTTTTTTTCTTTGGATTTTGAATATTTAATTACGTTTTTTATTACATAAATGAATTTCTCAAATTATATATTGCAAATTTATACGTATATATATAAAATAATTATATATATATATTGCAAAAACTAGCATTAAAAATTCTAAAAAAAAAAAAATGTAACAATATACGAATAGATATAAAAATTTAAGAAAGGAAAAAAAGAAATATTTTTCAAAGATAGAGTAATAAAAGAATAGTTTTAAAAAGATATATGATAATATAAGGGTTTTTGAAGAAATATAAATGCTGGTACTTAATGAACCTATAGAAACCCATCATATATATAAAATTTGTTATAATATGTATCGATCAAATGTTTTGCAATTATTACGAGTAACATTTATAAAGGACAGTTTTTTAAAATTGTGTATATCTTTATATCACTTGAAACCTGACTCCAGTTTACCGATTATTAGTGAATAGAAACAAAGTGTGAATGGAAGAGCGAAAGAAGAAATAGGATGTAAGAAATGAAAAGAATATATCGTATATATTATATAATTTAAAAATATTATTTATAATATATACTACCAGCCAAAAATGGAGATGAATTTAACTTAAAATATGAATATTAAATTATATCCTCTTTTTTTCAAATATTTAAAAGAAATTAATATATATAATATAATTCAAAAAAAATTATAAAACTTGACTTTTAAATCTTTTGAATTTTTTTGAATTCTTTGAATTCTTTAGAAATATATTCATGAAACATTAATAAGTACAGTGTTCTAAAAAATAATTACTCTTTACAGTTTTATTAATAATTTAGATAGATGACAGATTTGATTCTTCTAATTTATATAAAAAAACGTAAAGGAATAAAAGGATAATTTAATAGATACATTCGAGTGATTTATAGAATTATTTTTCCAAATTGCAAAATAATATAATTTTTTACATTAGGAAGTCTCAAATCTCATATTTTTAGCTGGTAACGTATACATATACACGCCTATACGGAAGATATAGATACTATTTGAGTAAGTTGAGAAAATTTTATTCTAGATAAATATTTAAATTATTTCTGTTATATATATATATATATCAATAGTATTATATGGTTCGCCAATTTAATGGTGATATAGGGCTTTCTTGTAACGCGACAGAGTACATTTTTTCAAAAATAAAGGAATTTTATAAAATTTTAGAAGCATCTAGCCGATTTCTGTTTCTTTTTTTTTCTTTTTATCGATCTTATTAAAAAAAATTTATTTATAAATCTGCTTTTTTTTTCAGGGAGAAGAAAGAGAATAGAAATGCAAAACATTCATTCGTCGTAATTCGCTATTTTATTAGAAAAACATTATTAAATAGTTTGGACCGAACACACGCGCAAACATGTTCGGTGTTACGTCGATAATGATAGATGACAAAACTTTTAAACAGCTACTGTAATTTCAATTTTTTAACTTTTTGTGGCCTAGATCTATAATACTTATAGGTACAGTTCAAGACTTTCAGATGCAAATTCTACTTCTTTTGAAATAATATCCTAAATAAAATTACATCACTACAAATGATTTTGTCAGGATTAAAATTAATATAACGATTTACTCCCAATTTAATAAATTTTGCAGATTATTATTTTCATAAATAGCAATAAGTTTTTAATAAATCTCTACTATTTTTTCTAATTTTAAACTAAAAATCTAAAAAAGAATTATATATTCAACAAAATTGAATATACTATAAATAAAATAATGGAATATTTTTTTTTTTTAAAGACAAGAATATGATCTGGAGGTCTCAAACGGCATTAAGTATCAAAACAATGATATACAAAGAACAATACAATTCACTCATCGACAAATAAATCCGGTAACTAATATTAACAAATATCTTTGTCATTAATTTAAAACCATGTATAAACATCTGTACGCCGTAACGATTTTATAATAGTCTTTAGGTTAGGATGGTCAAACTATGACCTATTATAGTTGCACAACTTTATAATTGTTCATTTTCGTAATTAACGGATGTAACGAATTGATTCTAAGACAGTTTATAAATTCTCAAATAATTGTGTATTATTATCTAATTTTATTTTAAGATGAAATTTTTTTTATTATAAAAATCATCTTATCATAAAGATATATCAAAGAAATTATAGAAAATTTAATTTAATTTTCTAACTCGACTTATTTGAGAATTTATCGACTATCCTATAATTAACAATAATAATTAACAAATAAATTAATCGTTAGATTATTCGTCATTATGATATTATGATATTTGTTTAAAAATCGTATTACGTGTCCAAATTTTCAACTAGAAATCAACTAGAATCAAAATTAGAATTATGGGACAAACTGTATAAACCATCAGTCTTATGAAAACGCAACACACGCTTATTAACAATTGAACAATGGATTTTAAATACTGATCCCGTAACAAAAGGATTTTCCTTTGAACCACAGACAAAAAAGCGTTCGAGTTTCTATCGGATCTAATAAACTTTGTAAGGAAATAGATGAACGAATAGAAAGAATACTATGTGCTCTATTTTAAATTTATCAATAAATAGTACAATGTTCTAATCTTAATCGAAAACTATGCGGAACATCGTGTACTTTGTCGTTTGAGTCATAATTCTCTAGTAATTTCTTATAGTAAAACCCCCAATGAAATTGACGCATTTTTCATACATATTTTTGAATTCTTTCTCTCGTATAGAATTAAAATTTTTCATTAAATTAAATTAGTACGTTATGTTATTAAATTAATATGTTGGCTGTTGTGGAATTTATTCATAATTTTTTAATGTTGTTTAAAAATCTTAGATTGTATTTAATTAAATATTGAAAAAATCTTATCTTCCAAAATACAAAAAAAAAAAAAAATAGTATTTTAATTTTATTATTTTTTTTATTATTATTAGTATTTTGTATTATGAAATATTAATATAAGAATTATAAAATTCCTTCAACAGTCAACATGTTAAAAATTCTTGGCAGTATCTAACAAATATGACTACCGTATTCACCCTCTTTTAATGCAGTTTATCTATATGCATGTGTAACGGACGGTCAATAAAGGTAGATCAATTTTGTTTCTTCCACGAATCCAAACGATCTACAATATCGTTTGCACTTTTAATTATTAATAGCATAAATAATTGTATAATATTGTAGAATAAAAGTAGTAGAGTTTTTTTACTCTTCCTCCTTCAACGTCTTATAAACTCCTTTACTTAAAAACAATTCAGAAAAAAAAAAAATAAAAATGATGATATTTTTAAACAATATTATATATATTACAATCAACTTTAATCACGAATGTTTGCAAACGTTGAAAGAAGAATGCGCTAGACTGTTCATCGTTTTTTCGTTCACCTAATCTTAAACAATGATTATCGCCAATATACAGAGTATTTAATCTCCTCCTTCTTTCACACCTCTCTCATTGTCAGAAGACACTTAATACTGAAACCATTCGGAAGCAACGAGACCCATATTTGTAATCTATTATATTATAACCGAATATAATCTTTGATAAACCGATACGCATAGATATGCGTATCAATTTAACATTGCGCTGTATTATCGTCATCTTGCTGATCACTGGTTTCTGCCGCGGAGGGTATAGTTGCGAGGAGCCTGGCAGCTAATCTACTTGGCGATCCAGGTGGTTCAGGCTCTTGAATTGCGAGCTGACGTGTGAGCCTTGGTTTCGACCTGGCTGGTCTCGGTGTATTTCTGGCAGTTACCTCAAGGGACGCGCTAGACCTCGAAATCCTCCAAGTACTAGTGGTAGCAGTGGTGGCGGAACCGGAAGAATCATTTCTGGAAGAGCTGAGATTCGAATCTTGAGACGGTTTTCTAGTGATCAGCCACGAAGAAGCTCTCCGTTTAGGATCTAATAATCTTAATGGGATACCGCAATGATGAGTCTGTCTCCAGGAATCTGATCTGGACGAGGAGAAATTTTCACTTGAGGATACCGATGAGGCTCGTTTGTGTTGTTTCTGTTGGATCTCCGCGATTTGATATGCGTATTGATCGCTACGCGCGTGTCTGGGCCTCGTGTCTCTGGCGCAGGGCCACAATATCCTGGTGCCCCATCGTCGGTAACCGGAACATTGGCTAGTCTCGAGTAATCTTGAATTACATGCACAGGGTGTCTGATTCTCTCGCGACGATCTGTCCACCAAACTGTTCGTGTTTACCGGGGTCTGTCTGTTGCTGAAATTCGAGCTATGCCGGCATCTGCCGATCCCCCTGGTCACCCTGGACTCCTCGATCGCCTTGCAAATAAGTACGCAATCTTTTTTAAACTGCTTGGTCAAGATGGCATACAGAAATGGATTACAGCAGGAGTTTAATGGCAGTACGAACACGGCAAACACTTTTGCCTGTTCAAGCGATACCAGCTGCAATCCAAACGTGGCAGTCAGCGAGAAGAACGCTATGGGGGACCAGCAGAGGAAATCGGTGAACACCAGCAGAGCCATCCGCTTGGCGATTCGCGAATCATTCGAATTCCACGCTTGGGACCCTCTGATCGCGCAGTACATCTTCAGATAACATCCCATTAATATAAGAAATGCGACACCATTGATCAACATCAAAAAGATCACGTATGCTAGCGCAGCGTTCCCGTTAGTCTCGAATGGTAGGCATATAGCAAATTTTCTATAATCTGATACACCGATCAGAGGCAGACTTGCCATAGACAGTGCGAAACACCAGCCTACGGTCATTATGTAACCTGCATGCTTAAGGGAAAGTCTTTTGTTCAGATGCATGGCATGCGTTATGGCGTAGTTCCGTTCCAAAGTAATTACTGCTAACGTATATACGCTCAACTCCGAACTAAGAACGCCTAGAAAACCGGCTAACTGACAACCAGCCGAAGTTTGCCACGGTATGGCGTACATTCGGAATTCTCCTAGAGTCGAAGCGTCCACCACTGCTAGTAGACCTGAAATTAACAAAAGTGTTATTTGAAGCCATAAATTTGGATATGATGATTTTAAATACGTAGAAAATGATTCTATACCATAGAATGGTATTTTTGCATCTTGCATAGATATTTTTTTTTTTTTTATGCCTAACCTAAATAAATGCCCATGAAAAAATCTGCTGCAGCAAGGTTGCAAACAAGAAACCGAGGAACATCCATCTTGCTTCTGGAGAATATTAACACGAATACTACGGTTCCATTTCCAAGCATGGCAAGTAGAAATACTACCCATACACCACAACGTAATGTCCACCAATCGAACAGATCTTGGCACGGTAGAAAAGGACCTGGAAATCATACACATATTTTAAGGTCTTTTTCATATTGTGTATTGAAAGAAGAAGAAGAAGAAGAAAAATATTCATGTTGAAATTACCAGGTTGAGGTAGGCACTGTACGTGAGAAGGTAGTGTTTGAACTGGCAGTGTAACTCGGTTGTTTTGTTCTTCAAAATAATCCTCAACATATGAGGGCAGGTTACCAGGGTATGTAAAATCTGAACCAAAGTTAGCCCAAAGTTCATTTATTTGCGAGCCAAATTTGTCGGTCATGTTATCTAAAACATGTCATCACTTCAGTGCTGCAAAGTCTTTTTTTCTTCTCGTTTGAACGAATCGATGATTGAAGAAAAATAATTGAATGATTTTTCTAATGGAACATTTTTCTAATAGAAAAATGTATGTTTTTATGAATTTGTGCTTCTCTTAACGATTATAAGAAATCTCTAACATGGCAGATTTAAAATGGGGAGTATTATATCTTTTCTTTGAAAAGAATTTTAAATTGTTTTAAATTATAATAAAATATATATATATATAAAAAAATATTTTATTACTAGGTAATTATCGATTCTTTTAATTTCTAAATTCTTTTAATTTCAATGATACTTTTTGTTATTATTTTTGACTGCAATTTATCAATGTTATTAATTATAAAATTAATTTTAAATTTGCCATGAATGATTATTGAAATATCATATGATTGTTACTAAATGAAATTATTTATTTTTAATTTTTTGAGATAACAAATGTTAGAAATTTCGAACGTTGAAATTTACTATTGTATATAAGTATAAATTGATAATATTCTAAAAATTTATTATTAACTTATATTTTCTCTTAAATCCTGAATAAGTAGATTTATGTGCTTTGCAGCATTTCAGTGTCGATTGATTCATCAACGAGTTGTAACAAGTTGAATTTTAAATAAAACAAAATTATTTTTAAATTACAATCTTTTACAAAACAATACAAAACAATACAAATCAATCGTTCTTGCTAAGATATTTTAAAAAAATAGAAATTTTGAAAACTTTATTTTTTTTTATTTAAGATGTAATTAATAAATTATTTTGTATAATTAATAAATTATATTGTTTAAAGTATAGTGATAGAATAATTAATGATAATGATTCTTTTCTTTTTTTTTCAATCAAATGATTAAAATTTTATAGATTACTACCATATACCAACATTTACACAATTGCTATTACAATAATTAATTTGATATTACTTTCTACTAATAATTTAAAACAATAATTAACTAGTGGAATAAATAAGAAAATATATAAAAATAAATATATTCATTTTTAGAATTTCGAATAGTATAATATATAATATATAATATAATAGTATAATATATATAACTTTGAGAGTGCATGAAAGCTCTAAAATTTTATCGAACTACTTACTGAGCTGTGGCCAGATATCGGTGAAACTCGAGTTCCACAAGCTCATATCAAAATCATTGTCAGTGGGGAATAGGATAGATTCTCGAACAGAGGATTTCGTCACCGGATCCTCCACTTCGACCGATAGAAACGAGCAGCAGTGATAAGCGTACGATAATACCATCGTTTGCACACGTGGAAACCTTTCGGGAGCTGGAAATTCCCTCAATGCTGGATTGTTGAATGTCTTAAGATGTAATAGGCCTGATAGCCCTAGTGTTGGCAGTACGGGAAACACGTTATTCCCAAGATTTCTGAGGATTGAGAAAATGAAAAAAATGTACATATATAGCTGATCAATGAATATCAATAAAAAAATTGTTATTCAAAATTGTTAGAATTTAGATAGTTTAATCTTAACTGTAATGTAATAATAATAAAACTTAATTCTTTTTAATATTATGATTTTTTAAAGCAAGACTGAGTTTTTTTTTTACTAAAACTTACAAATCCTCCAAATGTTTCGTCTCTTTAAATGCGTTAGGGTGAATATACTCGATATAATTGCTCTCTAGATCCCTGAAACATAGAATCCCTTTTTTTCAAAATGATAACGGCTAGCTTTCTACACGGGATTAATTGCAAGCGACGACATTTACAACACTTGTAGCCTCGACAAGCCGGTGAACGCGTCACCTGGGATTACTTGCAACTTGTTGTCCGATAGAAGGAGGTCGTGCAACATGTCCAGACCTTTGAATGGCTCATTTGGAAACGACAGAATCATGTTACTGGCCAGATTTCTAGAGAAAAGAAAATTTTCTTTTTTATATCTTCAATTTCGTGTACACAATTTTATAATTCATATATATTATATGAACTATAATATTTATAAAATTTATATTGTTTTTAAGAGAAATACTTACAAAACTCGTAACTCGCTGCAATTTCGTAAATTTGGCACCTCTGTTAGAAAATTTGATTTCATATCACTAAAAATTAATTAATAATAATTAATAAAACATGATTCTATATCAAATGTTAATGAATTATCGGGATACAAAAATTGAACTACTTACAAACTTTTCAATTTTGGACATTGCTCGCATAAATTTTTTGGAACATTCGTCACTTGTGCGCGATCTAATCTCAATACTTCCAATGATTTTGTCCCATTCAAATTAGGAAATATCTGTAGTTCTTTTAGATTCGACAGGATCCTAAAAAAAAAAAAAAAATATTTTCGTCATTTTCTTTAAACATGCATACTCGCAAATCAAAAAATATATACAATGTTGGTTGCGATAATTTAATTCCAAAATATTTTTTAAATAGAGAGTACAAACCATCATCCATACATTACGTAAGGATTTATCTATCTATCTGACAGTTGATAAATCGCTTATCGAATAATCTATACTCACAGTTTACGAAGCTTGCATAGATTATGAAAAGTGTTCCCGTGTATTTCTTTGATAGGATTTCCGCGTAGGTCAAGCGACAATAGATTACTGACACGTCGAAAAACATGCTCCTCCAAAGTTTCGATCCGGTTGTTCGACAGCGACCTACGGAACCGATAAAGCATACACGAATACGATTTTCTTGGTTTCCTTCGTTTCGGTGAAAACGAAAAACAAAAGGAGCGGAGCATCGATCGATCGATCTTTCGCGATTCTAATTTTTAATAAGTTTCCTTTTTTTGCATTTGTTATCACTTATATCAATAAATATAAAAAAAAATTAGTGTTTCATAAAATTTAAGTAATCATGATCACTCTGTGATAAACTATAAAATTTGAATATTTATCTTTCTTAAACGAAAATATTATATTTTTCTTTTCTTTAACAATTTTCATTTTCGTGATTCGAAAAAGATTCTCTAGAGTGATAATGATTTAACAGACAAATAATTTTTATTGTATATTAGAAAATTCTTCTCGATATTTTGATCGAGATATCGCCATATGAATATTAAATTTTCTAATCGGCCATGAATGTACAACGCAGCTCGATAAGGAAATAGAATGTAAAATTCATAGAATGTAAAAAAAAGTTGTCAAATTACATTTTACTTAATCGATGCACACTTACAGGTCTTCAAGGCCAGAGAGCTTTACGATCGCGGTTGGAATTTTTGTTAAATAATTGTCATCGAGCTCCCTACAAAGCAGACAGAGAATTATAATTTTTTTAAAAATCGCGGCCACGATCCCATTTTATCTTCTTTCATTTATAACGAATTGTCCGCCTTTTCTTTTTATGTTTTTATTATCACTTTTTTCCCCCTTAATTTCTTTATTGATTAACTGATGAATGAAATTAATTAATTTTTTTTTCTTTTTTAATATTTTATACATTTGTTATATAAACAAAGTAATATAGATTCTCTTTCTTTTCTCCATTCTTTCTTTATCGTGATGATTTTTTCATTTTTAATTTTATTTTTTTTTTTTTTCCTATTATTATTATATTCTGTGTGACTTTTAGAACACTCACAATACTCGAAGGCTCGTTAAGTTTGTAAATGCATCATCGGCGATCGTATGCAAACGATTTCGTCGAAGTAATCTGCAAAAAAAAATACGAAAATACTATTTGTTAAGAAAGAAGAGAGACAAGGAATATTACGATAAAAATAATAGAAATATTATTGATTTTTTTCTTTCTGATACTTACAACACTTCAAGATTGAAAATTCGGTTGAAGGCACGGGCTGGAATGTCTGTTATGTTGTTACTCGTTAAATCTCTGCAACAATTCAAAAGCAAAATTATACTATAAATGAACAACATAATCATATGAAAATTTTATTTTCATAATATATATTGTTACGTATATATAAATCAAAATGAGAAGTTTACAATTGGATATAAATTTTTTCTTTATAAACACGAATGAATATTTATTTACAAGAGAATTAAAAATTAATTAACAGAATCAAATTAATTTTATTTAGTTCGATTATTTAATTCTTGATCTTTTTTCTTGCTGCTTATATTCGAGTCATACAAATCCAACATAATCGAAATAATTCTGTATGAAAATTAGATAATATGAACAATAAAAAAACAAATGAATTAGTTCAAGAATTGTTCCTAAGCAGCCTAGGGAGACGATTTTATTTTAAAATGAAAAAAAAGAAAGGAACATAAGATAAGAAAAAGAAAAAATGAAAGAGAGAAAATGGAACGAGAAAAATTTTCAAACGAGCGAACCATCGTTAAATGTTACCGACAAAGTCCTCCATGTTTAGTTGTCTTCCCAATTTTACACTCAACTCACGAGACAGAATCAGACGCGGCGAGTTTACGACGGACCGATTCTACTTGGATGCACTTCTTTCTTTATACGTACAGTTTGTCCTAAAAATGTGGAAACATCCGTTAACTGGAGATTTCTGAACTAATTTTTTCAAGAAACATTTTCCTTTATAAAAACTTTTGTTACGTTTTTTTTAACGAATTATTAACAAAAAACATTGGCCAATCACGAAGCACGTAACCTGTCAAGCCACGATAGTTGTTACGTACAGTTGAACAAATTCAAGCAACGTGTATCGAAGAAAATGTGTTGAATATTACAGTTTGTTCATTGTTCGTGATATAATTCGATAATTTTTTTGTATAAAAAAATATTTGTCATATTCAATTTACTGTCTTCGATATATGTTGCTTGGATTTGTTCTCTACTCGATCTACTCGATCGACAGCACGTAACCAACGTTATCCTGGACTAAGCTACATGCTTCGTGATTGGTCAATATTTTTTGTTACTAGCTCGTTAAAAAAACTGTAACAAAAGGAAAATATTGCTTGAAATTATTTCAGAAATCTTCAGTTAATGGATATTCTATATTTTTGAGACATTCTGTACATATATATATATATATAGAATATAATTTTTTTCAAAATCTCATCGATCTAATCGTCGTCGATTTATTAACTCATATCCTTATATCGTAAATTCTTATACATGTTATTTCATTTAATTTATAATACTACAATTCGATACTATAATATTACAATTAAGATGTTCGGTTTACAAATATCTAAAAATTGGAAAGATGATATAAAATGGAAAGTTTGTAAAATTTTCTGTGCACTTATATTTAATTTATTTTTTTTTAACAAAAAGAAACAAGAAAGAAATAAACTTTCTTTTGTAAAAAGTAAATCTGGAAAATTTTCAATTGTCGTTTTAAATATCCATCCGTTTTTATCTGGCAATAAAGTGATTTTCCAGTTGATGGTAGGCATATTATCCTCGGTATAGTACCAATTACGCGCTGGTTACCCCTTAATGGCCCCATAAATTCGCCGATATCGAGCACCCAGCCACTTGAACACTACGAATATAGAATAAATTTGTTCGAGTGTTGTGCTTGTTTAAATCGCACACGCGAAACTTGACATTTTTAAACATAGCAGTCTAAGTTCTAGAAATATATTAAGCGTCTTGTAGAAGTAAGCATTCTAAAAGCATTCTAAACCAGTTCATAAATTCAAATTGAAATTAGCTAAATTTAGTTTATTTTCTCTTATTTTGTAATCGTAATCGATCAAACGTAAAGCGTTTCAATTCGATCTAGTAAATCGATTCGAAAATAAAAATTCGAAATCACTTTCTCAGGTAGTATAGCGTCACTGGTGAATTCTCGTTTGAAAAATCGTTTTCTAGGCCACACTCAACCGTCATCGTCCAAATATCGTTCTGGCATGCATAAATATCGAGTTTCGATACGAGTGCGGTTACGATTCATTGAATAAAAAAGTCCTTGGCTAATTTCGGAAGTCGCGCTCCTTTGATTAGCATAAAGATCCGATAAAACGATTGATTTCGCTTAATTTTTCGTGTTCTAACATAGATTCGATGATGCATAATAATGCATAATAATATTTAAGATATTTTTAACATGATTTGAAACAGGAAAAATAAAAATATTTTGATAGATATTTTTTTGAATAAATTCGTTAAAATCATTTACCAGAACAATTTATTGTATTTGTATTCATTTCTATTCTTCGAATTGGAGAACATTTATTCTTGTTTTTCGAAAATCGCTACAATATCACTTCCGTTCTCCTTTGAAGATTTCTTCTTAACTAAAAGAATTCGTCTCGATACAAACGTAGTTTTACATTATTCATACAATGTCTCGGATTTAATAAAATTTTATTCTAACTTTATTTTTTTCATATTTTTATACGAGTTTTTCTCGACAAACGAATACGCATGCGAATATTCGTTTTACGAGTTAGAATTCACAAAATTGAATATTTTTGTCGCATAATATATATAATTTTAACAAATAATATGTTTTCTTCGATAAAATTTTCGGTATCGGTGGATGCGCGTGCGTAAACTCACTCGATCAATGTGTGGATACAATGTGCAGGCCACACAGAAATCTCATGAAACAATGAAACTTTTTCAAGGTATTCACGATATGTTTTTCCAGCATTCGTTCTTTCTCTCAAGTTTCCTCGAGATAGTAAAATAGTAATAAAAAAAGCCTTTTTTATTTACAACAAATATTCTCCATCAACTAAAAGAGTTATTTCATCTTTGTATAGTTATCCTTAAAAAAACATCCAACTCAAGATGTTTCGACCACATATTCTCTTCGAATGATAATTAGGCACATGGAACGTCCATTCGTTCCTATAATCAAAATCAATTAATCAATCTGTTGATTTTCTTTATCCGACCTGTTTCACATCTCAACGGATAAAATCGACGCAGAAGAAAAAAAGTCGAAAGAAGAAAAGAGATTGATTTCTCTCTATGAATCTAAGTCATTTGTAAAAAAAAAAAAAAAAAAAGAAAAACGCCAATTCTCAACGTGATTTTTCTTCCCTTTGTATCTTACACTTAAGCTGATGGAAGGTTGGTTAAAATGGTTTGTTCGAGTTTTAGGAGTTAGACGAAGGGCTGTTTAATGGCAATGTTCTGATAAGTTTTTCAGAGAAAGTTTCCCGAGGAATCGTTTATAAGAGGAAATGTGGTTTCTCGATGGAACCGTAAGTTGAAAGATTTTTCTTTTAACACGTTTTTCGTATCGTGTAGAGCAAAGAAAAATATCCTTTTAGCAAGAAATATCATCAATTATATAAAATATATTTTATTTTAATCGTTTTTCTGCGAGTAGAAAAATAAATTTTTATCACAAATATTAAAGTTGATCTATAATTTGATATTGCAAAAAAAAAATGTTTCGTAATTTTATAAAATACGAGGATAATATCTCTTACAGTTAAAAATAAACTGAAGATTGGTAATAAAATTAAATTCAACATTGCTTATTTCTCACCGATTGTAATTTTTCGTTGTAGAATCCAAGAGGAGACGAAATGCGAGGCGACCGAGAAAAATATGGGAGAAAAACAAGAGAAACGAGGAAGGGATCTGTTATTTGGCGGCGGAAGGGAGAAATTTTCATCGTTATTCCAGTCCTCGTCCTTTCGCTATTTGTCATCATAGTTTTATCTCGGTCTTTACTGCCTTCTCCGTGCCTTATGCCGTGTCGTTTCGCAAATAATGCGCCTCCCCCCCTTTTTTTTTACGAGTTTGTAGTAAAAATATATGATTCTCCGGTTGTCGATCGATCTTTGCAGAGTATGGATACGACGACGGTTGTAATAACGTCTATCGAAAAATAAATAGAATAAATTTAAAAAATTTATAATATTAATATAGAATAGATATTAATTTAGAATATTTAAATTCTAATTATATTTAACATTATATTTAAAATTAAATATTTAAACAATTTCTTTTTTTGTATTCTGACAATGTGGATGAGAAAATGTTTGATATATTAAAATAATTATATTGTTAAATATATTGGAACGAAGATCGATATGAATTTAAGAAGAATTTTTTAAAGATTCGCTTGCCCTTTAATATTAAATCTTCGCTTTATCCAACCAATTGTGAAGAGAATTTATCGTGTTTGGCTTAGTCGACTATAATTTAAATTTAGTATCGGCTGATTTATGAATCTGGAGGAAATAAACGGAGTTGTGGCTCGAGAAAGCGTGTATGGATCGAATGATTAAAAAGGCAGTTGACGAAAATTAATGTATCGTTTTGCTGCGCATTAAAAAGACAGATCGGAAAGAAAAAGTGTATCGCGTTATCGAATAAATTTCTTAACTTAATTTATTTCATTCTATGAATAGGAATTTTTATTTTTCACTGACCAATTAAAAATCAAGAGAAAAAATATTTCTGAAAATCCAATTCTCCACCAGTGATAGAAACGACCCATCTCCTATTTATGATAGGTCGCTCGTGTTTCGTAAACACACAGAAAAACTTTGACCACGATATAAAAGCTTCTATATGAATAACGGTGGGTCAGTCGTATCACCAACTTCTCCGTTATCTATTCGGAATCGATTCTCCAACGAAATGTTTCATTAAATCTCGTTTATTTTTTTTTTATTTTTATTTATTCTTTTGGAAATATTAAAAAATATTTCAGACAAAATTTGAATGGTTTCGATTTAATTATAGCGTAATATAATTATTTTGTTCTTAAGTGGGCACGAATATCGATTTTCCTTTTTTTTTTAAATAGAATAAAACATTTTTAATGCATATTTAATTATATTCAATATATTCCACCTTTTTTCACACGATCGAAAAAACAGACTTATTTGCGTAAACGCGGATCAATCCTTCGATATTCTTGTCACGATCCAGCCTGGCATCCCAATCACTTTGTTACTGTCAGAGAAAGTTTTAACCGGAAATCTTAAATAAACGTTGAACGTCACGTCACGGCTCGAACTTCATTCTTGTTTCCTTATTAAATTCTCAATCGTTTTATCCTTTCGTTGCCATAGATGTCTCTATAATCGTATTCATACTATATTAAAAATTATAGTAACTCGATTATACGTAGAGAATTCGTTGTGTAGCGAAAATAAGTACATAAGTGCGATCAAAATGATTGAACGTTTTATACCTTCGTTATAAACCATAAATGATTAAAAATTATTACAACTAAACACAAAAACAATAGTGACTCGATTCTATATACGAATATAGAGAATTCCTTGTGTAATAAAAGTAAATACAATGCTCGATCAAAGTAACTATAAAATATAATTTTACAATTTATAAATAAATAACATTCGTTGTATATTTTCACAGCTGTAATATTCGGCAAAGAATTTGTTTAATTGCATCCAAGTTTCGCGTTATTGCCCGGCTGTTCCAGGTCGAGGAGTTGGTGTGAATCGACGCCACGGAAACGAATCTTGTGCAATGTTTCGGGTCAACAGCTCGTTCGCCTAAAATTGGACCTGAAGATGACGACTCGTTTCCTCGATGAGGGATGGCT